TAGCAGTGGATTTCAAAGATAAGACATGAGGAATGAAGGCAAGACTTGGAGTGAAAGGGAAGGGAATAGATTTCGGTACCTGCCAGCAGCTCACCTGTCACTGTTATTCTTGTCACCATTTCAACTTTTGTACTTTACTCTCTTCACCGTTACCATGGTTTTAAATCAAAGGCATCATCCTGATTTCTACAAAGAGTTTGTATGTGGCACATCAAGTCTTTTTAAACTACAGCTTTGAATGTAGCTGACCCAATGACAAAGCAGTTGCTTTATTTTGCCATTAGAGGATATTCCTGCCCAAATATACCCTGACTACTATCTTTAACCTAAGTGATTTGGGGAGTCCAATTTACTTTCTTTTAAAGTAAATTTGAAATTATTGAAACAAATTCTGGAGACATTGTTTATTGTTGTTAATTTGATCATTTTAGTCTTAGTTTCTTAATTTACCTTAGTATGGTATTATTTTACTTTTAAATAAAATTTCACTTTTTAAAAATTCCAGCTTAAAAAATGTTTAAGAATAGAGTTGATTCTGATAGAAAGATGTTCTCTGCTGCTGTTCAAGACTTTTCTTTTAATAACTTCAAAAATGTTGCAGTCTGCTCCATCTGCTAATTTCCCCTCTCTTAAACCTCATTAATGTTATTACCTAAGATCTTTTAAGTTCTCTTATATTCCTAGAAATTTTTAATACATGACTCATGAAATGTCTCCCTACCTTTTTACTTTTATAATCTTGGAGCTTTTTCAATTCCCACGTTAATAACCCTTATAACATTTATACTACAGTTTTTTCTAACCCAATTTCAATTTTTTAAAAAAAATTTCCATTTCTCCTAAGTTAACTATGGGATGGCCATATATGAGAATCTATCATAAACTGGAACTATTTTAACTTCAAATTTTGAACTTTGATATAAGACCTGAAACAATAAATTGCATAGAAGAAAACATAGGAACTAAACTCATGGACCTTGGACTTAAAGAGGATTTTATGAATTTGACCTGAAAGGCAAGGGAAGTAAAAGCAAAAATAAATGATTGAGACTAAACTAAAAAGCTTCTGCACAGCAAAAGAAACTGTCAACAAAGTAAAGAGACAACCATCCAAATAGGAAAGTATATTTGCAAGCAATGCCTCTGACAAGGGCCTAATATCCAAAGAACTCATAAAACTCAATAACAACAAAAAAACAAATAATCCAATTAAAAAATGGGCAGAGGACCTGAACGGACACTTCTCCCAAGAAGACATACAAATGGCCAACAAACATATGGAAAGATGCTCAGCATCACAAGCCGTTAGGGAAATGCAAATCCAAACCACAATGGGATACCATCTCACACTTGTTAGAATAACTGTAATCAACAGGACAAGTAATAATAAGCGTTGGAGAGGATGCAGAGAAAAAAGAACCTTCATACACTGCTAGTGGGACTGAAAATTGGTACAGCCTCTATGGAAAACAGTTTGGACGTTCCTTAAACTAAGAATTGATCTACCAAATGATCTAGTAATCCCTCTACTGGGTATTTACCCCAAAGACTTGAGAACATATATCCGAAAAGATTTTTGCACATTGATGCTCATAGCAGCATTATTCATGGTGGCCAGGACATGGAAGCAACTGAAGTGTCCTACAATAGATGATTGGATAAAGAAGCTGTGATACATATATAATGGAATATTACTCAGCCATAAGAAGAGATGAAATACTGCCATTTGTGACAACATGGAAGGACCTCAAGATAATCATGCTAAGCGAAATAAGCCAGACAGAAAAAGTTGAAAACCACATGATATCGCTAATATGTGGGATATAAACCTAAAAGCAACAAACAGGATAAACAAACAGAGACTCATGATCATCGTCAATAGACTAGTGGTTATGAGAGGTTGTGGGTAGGGGGAAGTGGGGAGGTAGACAGGGTAAAAAGGGTCAAATACGTGGTGACACAAAGAAATTTAACAATGGGTGGCGAACATACAGTGCAATATATGTATGCCTTACTGTTGAATTATACCTGAAACTTACTGGATTCATTAACCAATGTCATCAAAATATAAATACGTACGTACATACGTACATACATACATACATACATACATAAATGGAACAAATTTTGAACTTCGATGTTCTTGTTTCAGATCATAATTTCACTTTAGGCCACTAATCTTCCATTTATCCATTTAGTAATATTTATTGAGTACCTATTATATACTGAACTTTATGGTACTATCTTTTCTTTAAGGGAGTACTATATTAAAAAGTCGATTCTACTTTTTTCTAACTACTCTACATATTTCCTTCCTTTTCCTTCACCTCTAGTTTTTGATACCCCATCTATATTATTGTTTTACTGCCCTGATTCTAAACTTGTCTGCTTTCCTACCTATAATGGGCCTCATAATAATCATTTCAATTGCACTTTAACCTGCACCTTCAACTCTGACTTCTCTTTCTTAGGCTCTTATACTATTTCTTCTGACTTTATTCATTATTGTTATATTTTACAATCGATATTTATTGATATTTACCTAGATATTTAAGCTTTCTGTTGTTCTCTATTCCATCCTGCTTTTCTCTTAGGGATTCTCTTTAATTAATTAATTTTATTTATTTAGTGATTAATTCCCTATTTTGTTTGTTGATTTGTGATATCTTAATTTTGTTTTTATTTTGGAAGGGTATTTTTGCTGAGTATATAATTACAGGTTAGCAGTTATTTTCTCTTGACACTTAAAGGCTAAAGTCTATACCCAGTCTACCCCTGCTCTTAGGGTGTTTCGAGAGCATAGGGTGTTTACAGGGGCTTCCCCACTGAACTATAGTAATCCTTACCCCTCAACATTGAGAAACTTCCAAAACCTCCACTTATAGGTAATTATAAGGACTTTCGCTGTTATTCTGTGTGAGATGGGAAGTCACTGGAGAGTTTGAGCAAAGGAGAGAGATGCAAAGTGATTTTTCTGTTTGCTGTGGTAAGAAAAGACTATAAGAAAGCAAAGAGGAACCTGGGAAGACCAGTGAAGATGCTATTGTAAAAAAGCAGGCAAGAGATGAAGGTGGCATATAATTTTTTATTTGACCATTGAAGTAACTTCCAAACTGCCTCGAATCTTGATCTACTCAAACTGTTTCTCCCTCCTGATACTATAGTGATTTATTTCTAAAATTTACATCTAATGATGTCACTTCTCAGAGATTCCCATTATATGACTTTAGGTAAAGAATTCAAATTCCTTACCAAAGAATAAAAGATTCTATCCATGCTCTGGTGCCTGCCTCCCTTTATAGCATCCTCTCTTATTCTCTTTCCTTTGGCCATTGTTATCTACTTGGATCCTGGAATCTCTCCACAGCCTATAAAACACCTTAAGTCTCATGCCTTGGCCCATGTTTTTCTTTTTCTTGAACCATCTTTCTTTTCAACTCCCTCCTCTTGTAGATTGACTCCAACTCATTTTTAAAGATTCAGTTGAAGTATTAAAGATAACAGAAGCTTATCTTTTCTTTGAAGAATTTCTGAACCTTTTCCTTCCCCATTCCAAGACATAAATGAGTCTTTTTGTGGGTTTAGTACAATTCAATAAACACTTATGGCATCTATTCTCTGTCAAAAATAGTTTTAAGAGTTGTAGAATCACAGATGAATAAGCTTCAGTACTTGCCCTCAAGGACCTCATTCCAGAAGAGAAGACACATAAATACATAATTGTATTATAGTGTGATAAGTGTAGCAGTAGAAAAGTATGACCTTGGAAGGAGGGTGTGTATGAAGGATTTTTAGAGGAGGAGAAATCCATGTTCATTTTAAGGAATAAATCAGGGTTTATCAAGCAGATGAAGTACATGAGGTAGGGTGAATAAGCCAGATTGAAGAAACAATATGCAATGACATGGAGTGGTAAAACAGCAAGGTTTAAGGAAATTACAGAAAAATTAGCATGTGAGTGTAAAGTTTAAAGGGTAAGTAATGGGAGGTGAGCTTGAAAAGATCGGATAGGCAATCACTGAAGATCTTACTTGCAATGCATACCTCCATTGTGATACTTATCACACTGTATTGTAATCACTGGTTTTCAATCCATGTCACCACTAATGGGCTCCTTTAGGGCAGGTGTTAGGACTTTTTCATTAATCTTTGCATACATAGCACCCACCCAAGTGTCTCAGATACAGTGGATGCTCAGTAAATATTTATGTTATTAATGTGGACCCTTTAAAACTTTAAAAGATTATTTTATATAAGACTTATTTGGTATTGGGTAGAAATTGATCCATCAGTTAAGCTATTTATCTATCTATCTGTCTATCTATCAATCAGTCAATCATCTATCTATTGCCTGGATTGAATCTGGACATTATCAGGTCCAAAGTATAAGTATAAAAAAAAATTGAAATAAAGTATAATTAATTAAAGATTCTTAGTAAAATTACACTTAAATCTGATATGCAAGGCATAGCATATCCGATGTAACATTTTAAAAATAAAATGTTATTAAAGTGTTTCTCAGATTTAAATAGCTATTATTGAGAGGCAAGACAAATGAGAAGAATAAGACATCTGTACAGCTTTGTCTAGGAAACTGGAAGTTCTGTGTATATCTTTCCATTCACTCTTATTTCCTTCTTGTATCTCTTCCACAGCACTAGACACCAGATAGAGACATTTTTATAGGAGAAAGGGATAATTAGCAACAGTCCTAAGAATTCTGCAACTCAGTTGGGTAGGGCAGGTCGTCTTCTGGGTCTCTAGACTAGAAGACTAATAGCCAGCTTTTCAACCCTAGTGTATTCTTGCCTCTTGTTTTCAAAAGGGCATTTCAAACTACTTTGGAAAGTAGCACACATATGTAGAAATGTCATGAACATAAGGAAAAAATGGAGACATATAGCCTGGAACCAATCATAATAATCCATAGTAGTAATCTGAGAAAATTTAGAATATCTAAATCTCCCAACATCCTCTTCTTTCTCCCTCTCCTCTCTTAGTATCTTTTTGCTACATATGTTGCTCCTTCGGCCACTCTCGACATTGGACTCCAACAGGAAAAGAAAAAGGAAATTTATATGAAAATACAACCACCGTTTGAAGACCTTTTTGACACAGCAGAAGAATATATCCTTCTCCTCCTACTTGAGCCCTGGACAAAGATGGTAAAATCAGACCAAGTTACTTACAGACAGGTATTGTAGCACTGAAAAGTTGTGTGTTATACAAAACTGATGATAAGTAGCATTGTTAGCTCACAAGAGAAAAACTGAAAAAAGTCTCATCTGGCCTAGGGATTTAGAATTAAGATATGGGCCAGCTCAAAATCAGGGCAAGGCAAGTATTTATTACCTATATTTTTTACCAGTCTCCCTACTGTCTCCTAACAAAAGACTTAAATCGATGTCATTTTTAGTTCTTTGTGCAAATATGTCAGCAGAGAGAGATTTTGGTTTCCTGTGAACCAACAAAATATGCCATGATAATAAACTGGCTTTGTCCCTTCTTGCCATTTCTCAGCAGCAGCCTTAATTTTGATTAATGGCAAAAGCTCGTTTAATTTTATGCTGGATGAGTTATAGTAAATATTACACCCATGGAAAATATAAACGTTTCATATGTATTGTGGAAAGCACATTCTATGACTTCAGTGCTGCTATTTTAAAGCACCCCCAGATGTTCATCAGGTCAGACTGCTTGATTGGATAAAAGTTTCAACACATCTTTTTTTCATTCTAAAAGAGGTCGTTTTAAGCCTCAGTGCTTGAATATTTTCACTAGTCTTATTGATGGGTGGAGGAAATTTCTTTAAATATTTATTCTGAATCACAAATTAAAACCATCCATGGATATTTTTTATATTAAGTTATTGCGTGTACCCTGCACGTGAGTCATTTCAGGTGGAACTCTGCTGTCTTTGTGTTGCTGTTCTTTGTTCATATCTCCTCAACAACTTCTTAGTCGTGTCTCCTATCAGAAAGGATAGGTTAGGAAATTAAGATAAAATTAATACCAAAACACTATGGATAGAGTCACCTTATTGGATTGTTACTAACATGACCCTTATGGCTTACTAAATTCAATGACTAAAATAATTACATTTTTATTCCTGATGTCTCTTTGTCCTAAAGAATTAACATTGCAGAGTTTCTACCACAAATGTGTATACTACACTAGGAAAATTAGGATATCACATGAAATTTTAAAAAAATCTCTCGAGTTAATTTAAATATAGCATATGGTATAGAAGAAAACGGACCTGAGATACGGTCTTGAGATGATAAAGGTTTAGAATTATAACTTCCCTAAACCAAAAAAGTTTGGCATTAGTAATGATTCTTATAAAAATGCATAGGACAAATTATATATTCTTTTTAATAAGAGGAAAAACAAATCCCTCTTAATTCTAGAAACATCCTTAAATTCAGCCTAGAGAACTTCTCTAAAAGTCCAGCTAACTGGATTATGTAGACTCTGTCTTAAAAAAGATAACAAAGGAGACTACCAAAACCAGCTATTAAATACAGAAAGTTCTGTGAGCCAAACTGACTTTTTCCTTAAACAGAGAAATGGAGAATTACCTTGTTCTCCTGACGACGACATACAACAGTGCAATACACACTCTGAAGGCTGAGGCCTGCTATAAGGTTTACTTTGATGATTAACTCTCTCCTCTCTTGCTACAGCAATAAAACCTTTGGTCACAGACTAATAATAATGATGTCCTGTCATTTCTTGTTCTTCTGTGGATTATTTGGTCCTTACAGCTAGTAGTGCCTGCCTTTATGACTATTATCTTGTTATAATGAATAGAAACCGGAAATACGACCCGACATGTTTGCCTTGTTAGTTCACGAGGGGTGTCCAGAAAGGAGGAATGATTTTGGGGGACAGTATATCATTACATAGGAATGTATGTATTTTTTTTATCGGATGCATTCAAAATCTGACTTTGCCGTAGCTGATATTTTTTGCTATGTTGGTCTCGCTTCCAAACTAATTTACTTTATTGGCAAGTATATTTGGTTTTTAGCCCACTGTTATTGGCAAAGTGTACATTCTTTCCCCACTTTTTCATAATGCACATTCTATTGATGTGACAAGCTTTAGTATTATTTTATTAGGTGGAGCTGGTGGAAGAAACTCGACAACTAGACTCCACATACTTCAGAAAGCTACAGGCTTTGCATAAAGAGACATTTTCCAAGAAACCTGAGGTAAGACAGCTCTCCACTTAGAACAACAAACTTTTATCCTGGGAAGTATTACCATTAAATATATTTGTGGAGATCAGGGGTGGGGAGTAGGAGATCATATATTGATAAAGTAGGGGATAGTTTCATTTTTCTGGGCATCTTTTCCTAGCATGGTACATTTGACAGGTGTTACTTTTTGACACATTTAACAACAAAGCCAGAAAAACAAAACAGAGGTAGCACAGGGAGCCAAGGTAGCTAAGAGCCTTCAAGCCACACTATATATTCCTTTGAATGTTTTTGGATATTTTTTGTATGGCAATGTTTTTGGATATTTTCTGTTGTCAAGTCACAAAAGAGTTAAATTGAGTTTTCCAAACAGAAAAGGAATTGTTGTGTGACAGCAGTAGGGAAAACAATTTTTTTAAAAATATGGAGAAGGTTAGGGGAAGTCAGTAAAAAGACCATAGGATTGACCAGGATATGAAGGTGTTAATTTTGATTTATAAATTCAGAACTTTTGGATTGGCTTAAGTAAACCATGAGAGATCCATAAAGCAATAAAATTAAATGTGTATCTACATGAAAAAATCTAGTTTAGATTCATGTTTATTGACATGGAAAATGCTCAGGACATATTATATAATAATGTAGGGAACAAAAACACTGGTATGAACTTATTTGTATAAGATTATATGTGTATTTCTACAAGAGAGATATCCGGAAAAAAAATGGTAAAGATAGCTCAGAGTGGTAAGGGTTCAGGTGATTTTCACTTTCTTCTTTGTACCTATCTGAAATTTTTACTCTTTTACAACAAAGTTTTACAAAATAGTAAAGTTATTTTTTAAACGTAACCTTCATGAAGTTGCCTCATTAACACAGAAGTTTTCTTTTTGAGACATCTTGGAAAAGGATACATAAAAATCCATAAAGGTAACACATTATAAAGTTCTTTTTTAAGCTTTATGAACTAAAATTTGCAACACTCTCCATAATCCTTCTACTTATAGAAAATCAATTTTGAAAATATTGGTAGTTTATCTTATGGTCTGTTGCTTTGCAAAAACAAATAGGGAGATGAATTAATTATATAAGGAATTACAGAAAAGGATTTTTCAGAGAATAAGCCTCTCTAGCTCTTTGCCCTGTAGGGCTTGTAAACTGTCTGCAAAACATCAGAGGTCTTTAAAATATCCCCAAATTAACTTTTATATAAAGGAAATTACATTTAAAGAATGTAATCTTTATTAGAAAAGCATCTTGCATTACTCTATAACTTTTAAAATTGTTATAGATAAAAGAATATTTTATGTTCATGATATATTGTTAACAAAAAGAACCAAGTTACAAAATCATACATAGTTGTATAGTTCTGTCTTCATTTTTAATAAACTACATGTGTGCAGACAAAAAAAACTAGAAGG